TATATATATATATATATATATATATATATATATGTAACTGAGAGGGTAAGCCATCTACTAGTTCCTGCACCGTAGTAACTTCCAAAGGTTCACTCTTAAGTTGAGAGGTGTGCTGTTCATTTGGGAATGGATTGAATTGGATCGAGATGGCTCAGTAGTTAAAGCGCGAATTCACTGACTGCGTGGTCCATGGTTCGAACCCAACCGCTGCATCTCAACTGATCCTGTCTGGGTTTGGGCAATCTGGCAGTAGCTCAGCCCTCTTGCTTCCTTTGGGTGCCACGACAGCTAAGCACCGAAAGGGTGTTACAGCTGTAGAATTATTTTTCTAATAAGTTGAGTTTCCCAGGAATTATGAGTCTTAAGGGCAGAAGAGATCGTTCCTATTGTTGAGTCGTTGTCTCAGAAGCTTCCTTCAATAGAAGCGGAAAAAACAACATGTACGATTGGTCGCGGTTCCGAAGCCCTAACACACAGGAACTTCAAATAGTGCACCGAGGAAACAGAGAGCTTTGAAAACGTTAAAATGCGTTAATGTGATTACGAAGACCGATAAGGATAAGGGCACCTTGGTCATCAGTGAAACCGTTTGCAGAAATCTAAACAACACTGCTGATGGACCTTACCGACGAATTGGAAGTGCGCCAAATAAATAAGTAATAAATAATATCAAGGTTGAAGTTGAAAGGTATTTATGATTGACTGTAAACTGTTTGGGACCGATTGGACCCAACCAAAACGTTTTGGGTGTCCCCGTAAGACCAGCAGTGGATAGCGTTGGTTCATCATCGCATGAATTAGCTATCCCAAGGCCACTTACTGGTGAGCCATCCACACACATTCAAAATTCGTGGGATCTCGCCAAAAAAGTAGCTGGGTTTCCTTTGGAGCAAGACGAAGTTCTCGTTAGTTTTGATGTCAACTCGATCTACACGAGTGTTTCTGAGTTGGGCGCTCTAGAGGTAGCAAGGCGGTTGTCCTTGGTGGACAAGAACGCTGTGGATGATTATGTTCGAAACGTCGGTTACTCTGCTTTTGACTCAATTGTGCACTCAGGATGGAGCCTCCTTTATTCCCCGTTCTAGCTAATATGTATGCGTAGGACTTCAAACAGAGTTTCAGCTGGATTCGGGTGTCCACCGAGAGTTTTTGTTGTTTTTACGTAGGTGACACTCACTCTGGTCAAGATCCTCAGTGTTCGTACATCAGGTACCCTACCCTTTCTGAACTGTGTAGCACCCGGGTTGTAGGAGGTCAAGCTGTAGTTTTCCAGAAACCAACAGATATTAGTGTGGTCTCAAACCATACGCCTGCACATAAATATACGCCACTATGGTTTCAAACATGTTTCGTCGATCGAGAGCACCGTCAACAGAAGTTGATGGCACGGCAGCACAAATTGAGGTGATGGGTGTTAGGCCCAACCCCGCAAGAAAAGAAGGAGTGAGTCCGAACAGTCATTTCATATGAAACGGGAAAGTCCGAAGTCATTAGGTGGGTTTTGAATATGGCCAAGTACAGCGCTTGTGCGCTGCCTCGCGGGTCAGGCTTTTGAGTCAGTGTCTTCCTATTAACAATAAGCAAAATAATACCTTTCTAAATCAAATAAATGTTTTCTGTAGATGAGCTTTTAATGTCTGTACTCTGTCAAGTTGGCAACCAGGCAGTGCTTGCTGAAACCTTATACTTGAAATTGATTAAGCAAAATAATACCTTTCTAAATCCACGAAATGTTTTCTGTAGATGAGCTTTTAATGTCTGTACTCTGTCAAGTTGGCAACCAGGCAGTGCTTGCTGAAACCTTATACTCCCTTGAAATTGATGTGTGCTGTGTCTCCGAGAGACGCATGCAAGACCCAAACGCCAAGGATGAACTCGGCTCCTTGACATTTATCCATCCGTGCGTCCCCACGATTGATTACTCGTGGAATATATGACTTGGGAGTTGCACTCAACCCCAGAGCTGAACGTGTTTTACTGGATCGGATCCCAGTGGACGGTGGTGTTTGTATTGCCCGGTTATCCAGCTCAATCAAGCTCAACGGCTCGGTATAAAAAAGTGCTTGTCTGTAGTGTCGGCTTATACCCCGTAAACTACAGTCCTGGTGCTGAGAAGGATACATTCTATCGAGAGCTATCTAGGCTCATTCGTCAAGCAAAATACACTGACATTGTGATCCTTGCAGGTGAGTTGAATGCTCAAGTAGGCCGTCTTAGCTCCTTGGAATCACATTTAGACGGTTGGTTCTGGGTCGATGCTCGTAGCACAGACAACAGAGATCATGAACTGTTTCTGTCAAGTGCAACCTTTACCACAAACGTTCACATCGCACAACGTGGCGGCCACCAACTGCAATCAACCGTGGACCCAGTTGGACCACGTGGCCATCAGCCCCCGGTGGAGAGCCACTACTCAAGACTGCTGTTCTTCCTGGGGCACAAAACTTAATTCCGATCACTCCATGGTGCGTGCACGCCTGACAGTTCGTTTCCCTTCAGGTCCTTGCT